CCCTCTTGCACTTACCTTGTCCTTCGTTCCCGCAATGTCCCCCCTGCAGCGTCCCCGGCCATCTCCTCCAGCTAATGCCGGCATCCATCTTCCGGTTTCCTTTCCTTGTGAGCAACGGGATGTACGGGGGACGGAACCAGCAGGAAATTTAAACATTTTAAAAAGTGACATTCACTAAATACACTAAAATCACATAGTATAATATTACTGTATCAAAGCATTTCACATACATTTTGTCCATAGTGCTTTGTCCTCTGCCCTGCCTGCATTTTCTTTCTGCCTTGAAACTGAGAAACGTCCATGGCGTCCAAAAAGCATCCCTTTAGGTCAAAAACAGTTTTAGACCACCTAGAGAACAGCGATAGTAAATCAGAGCCACTTGTAGAATTGAGTAATAATGATTCGTGGGGAAATTTGTCATCACTGAAAACGATTTTGCGACTAAGCTCAGTGATGTGCGAACTTGGCGCTCTATTTCAAATTTCAGTGTTTTTGGTTTGATTATATTATTGAATTAAATTTATTATTATTATATTTTTTTTTTATGATTATTTATTATATTATAATTTATGATTTCGTGTTTCAAATTTTATCATACCCGGGATGTTTACTAGACTCTTGTTCGGACAGTATTCAGTGAGTTATTCCTAAAAATTACAGGCCTACAATAAAAAAACAACATATTTCCATGCAAAAAAAGTACCACTTTGAGCACAGAAATATTGACATAATCAGACTGCTAGGGGGGTTAAGTGATGCAACGTAAAGGATACAGAGTCTTTAATAACGATAAGTACTCCTCTTTTCTTGGCAGCCATGGAAGAGAGGAACACATGAGGGGCATTTCTTTGAGCATGGTGCCAGCAATGGGTTGTCAAGAAATAGGGGAACAGGCTATAGGGTCATGAGGGGATTTCCTTGTGTTTGGGGCTAAAAACCCCTCACCCCTGTCGGGGATGCATTATCCTCCTCTTCTTCCCCATAGTCTCTCTGTGGCTTTGCCTTAACCGGACTCCTGATTGTAGGAGATGATGCATCACTGGAGGCAGAATCGGCATCAGGGAACTTCCAGGCACCAGAAGTAAAGTGGCGTTCGGCAGTTGTTGTCTTCCGCCACCATCTTGTTGTAGCCTCACAGTGGCTGGGAAGAATTTGGTCATTTTCTGTGGCTTGGCAGGCTTTCTGTTCATAGTAAACTAAGAGTGAATTCAGGCAAAACATGTGTGAAATTTATGCTGGGATCTGAATAATTCAGTACCATGATTCCCATGGTGAAATTGGTCACAATGACCGTATCTGATGGGAGGACCTTCAAATCCAACATCTGTCCATAACCATGATATAGTTTTTATATAGGGTGGTGCTTAAAAGTATTATGCACTCCTGAGGTTGTGTACCCACTGTCACTTTACCCTGAATGGGTACCCCACACACCAGCAAGATATGCTCTACACTTTCTTGTCACCTTCCCTCTACAGCAGCCCATCCTGGGTAATACACCCATGCTGGATGATGACAGAACTTAGCTGGGTGGGTGATGTCACTGCTTACCCTCATGTGTCAGTGGGTTCCATTCACAAAAGCAGATCGTATGCAGTATTTAGGTGTATACTGCATGTGATCCTAAAAATGTCAATTCACTATTGCTTTATGCTTTATTTACCGCATAAAGCAAAAACACTCGGTAAATACCGCATGAAACAGGAATTAAAGTCAATTCACAGGAGGAAATAAATAAATAAATTCATGAGGTAAATAAGTAGTGGTCCAGGCATGCGATAGTTAAGGAACCTGCAGCCGCCAGCAACCTTAACAACCAGTAAACAAAATGGTTGATAAGGAGCAGGCAGACACTGCGTCCTTCAAAACCGATGAGTCATCAGCTGTCAGTGGGGTTCCCCATTGACAGCTGAGTATAAAAAAAAGAATCGCCGGCACTGAAATAAAATTGCGTGGGATCCACCCCAATTCATCCCAGGCACTATGGGTCTGATATGGATTTTAAGGAGCACCCAATGCCAAAATTTTAAAAAATGGCATGGGGTTTCCCCCAATATCCATACTAGACCCTTATTTGATCAAGTCCCAAGATCCCCGCCCCCCTCCATGTGAATGAGTATGGGGTACATAGTACCCCTACTCACTCACCAAAAAAGTGGTAAAGAGCAAAAAAAGTAACAACAGTTTTTGACAAGACCATTATTAAAAAATTAAGAAATAAGTCTGTCCCCCATTGTAGATCCAACAGCAATCATGATGAACACTGGCCGCCAACCTGTCGCTCAACAAACTAAGGGGCAGGGACACCCAGTGACATCACTGGGTGACCCCACCCCCTTATGACACCACCAACTGGGGCATGATGGGTCGATGATATCACAAGGGGATGGGGCCACCCAGTGATGTCACTGGTGGCTCTGCCCCTGAGTTTATTTAGTGGTGGGAGGTGGCAGAGTTGTCATTCAGTGGGAGCCTTCATTGGGAGTAGATCTTTTTTTTTCTCTTTTTCAGGTTGGCGGCTAGTGTGCACCACGATTGACATTGGATCTACACTGATGGACATTTTTTTTTTTAAATAAAGTATTTGTCAAATACGTTGCATTTTTACCACTTTTTTTGGTGCATGAGTAGGAGTACTATGTACCCCATACTCATTCATATAGTGGGGGGCCAGAAACTGGGTCCCCCTTGTTATATTTCGGTAAGCCCCCCCCCATCCACAGACCCCCACAACCACCAGCCAGGGTTGTGGAGAAGAGGCTGTTGTTCCCATCAACATGGGTACAAGACACTTTGAGGGGGGCCCTTCCCCAAAGCACCCCCCCCATGTTGAGGGCATGTAGCCTTGTATGGTTCCGACCTACTGGGCTGCATGATAAGGGTCTGGTATGGTTTTTGGGGGGAACCCCATGCCTTTTTAAAAAAAAATTGACATGAGGTTCCGTTTAAAATCCATAACAAGCCTGAAGGACCATTTTTTCAGCAATTTTATAAATTCCAATATTACTTTCCTTTACATTCAGCTGTCAGTGGGGAACCCCACTTACAGCTGATGACTCATCAGTTTTTAAGAACACAGTGGCCACCACCATCCTGAACAACCATTAAATATCATCCAGCTTTAAATTACCACAAGCTTTCACTACTAAAATACTGCATCATTTCATAAAATAGCACATGCAATATTTTAGCTGTTTTTAGTGAATTAAAAAAAAATGGAAAATATTTTGATGTGGCAAGATATCGCTTTGTGAATGAAGCCTATTGTCTCAAAGAATTTATGGACCAGAGTAAAAATGAGCTCCTGGTTCAATGCAAGCCCATGTTTGGACTGAACCTTCTTTGCTAGAGCCAAATGTGCTATATAGTAATGGTTTTTTTCTGTCAATGATTGTTCAGGAAGAAGTGGATGCCAGCAACCACCGTGTCCTTATCAAACAGTTACATCACCCAGCTCTATTCAGTTACTGTTCATGAATTCCACAGGTCCATATTTAGTCAATGATGTCATTATCTCTGCTCCTTGGTTCACATTCCAGATGACAGCATGGGGAGCTGGGGCTCTGTTTATTGTCTCCATCTTTAATGGAGTTCCATATTCCCCTGTGAATCAGTCACTTATCTCTTTGACTTGCCCCCCACCACCCTCCACCACCTTGCACAGGCTGACCTCTTTGTTTACTGTATCAACCCTTAAAACTAAACAGGGAGCAAAAAAAAAAGTCTTAAATGTATTCCCCTACAGCCACCAAAGATATAAATCTACTTTGTGTGCACCAAACCAACCTTTAGTTGACCAAACCAAACCAACCTTTAGTTGTGGAGTTGTGTGCAGCAACTCCATCTTTAATGGAGTTCCATATTGCCCGGTGAATCAGTCACTTATTATCTCTTTGACTTGCCCCCCACCATCCCCCACCACCTTGCACAGGCTGTCCTCTTTGTTTACTGTATACACACTTAAAACTAAACTGGGAGCAAAAAAAGTCTTAAATATATTCCCCTATAGCCACAAAAGATATAAATCTAGTTTGTGTGCTCCAAATGCCTTTGTAAACCCAGACATTACCTTACAAAAATAGCAGTGGCATCACTACTGTACATAGGCCCTGTAGAGAACAAGGCTGTGGAAGGGACCCAACAGGCCTACCCAGTAAGAAAACAGGAGGGGGTGGAGACAAGACCAGTCACCATGCACAAGAAGAGAGAGAGAGCAGCAGTGACTAGTCTGTATTACAGGAAACTCATGCACAGAGGAAAAATGTTACACTAGATTACTGCACATATCTGGAAGAAATACACTAGCCACATCAAGAGTCAAAGAATAGAGCACGTCGTGAATGTGTTTAGACACAATTTACTTTAAATGCTTCCCATCCAGCCTATGATAGACTGATGGTTGAGCAGGAGCACTGCCATTCTGGGTTGACATCATATGACATACTACAAGCATCGTGCTGCAGCGGACAGAGCAGATGGCAAATCACTGTACCAAGCCACTGCCGATACTATGTGATCACTGTGACCAATCACAGCATATCGCATGACAATTGTAAATTCTTTCGTGGCCATTCATTGTGTACTATTGTGTTGATTTCTGTGATTGGTCATAGTGCATAAACAAAATCCTGATCATCCTGATTTCCTAGAGTAGCACAGTGTCACTATGGTGTACTGCTCTAGTCACAGTATGAAAAAAAAAAAAATCATAAAAAAAAAGAAAATAATGTGATAAAAAAAAGAAATGTTAAAAAATTGAAAAAAAATATTTAAAAATGTTTTTTCCACATACTGTCACCAGTCAGTGTCCCTGAACACCACCATGTCAGTTATATGGTGATGCTGTACTGCTCTGGTGGTATGTGAAAAAAAACCCCCAAATGTATTAAAATTTTTTTGTTTTGTGATTTTTCCCCATTGTGGCAAAGAATTATAACTTCAAAATACTTACCATGCCTCTTAATAAATACCTTGGACTGACTACTTTCCAAAAAGGAATCATTTGGGAGGTATTTGTACTGTCCTCTCATTTTAGGATCTCAAGAAATGAGATAGGCAGTCAGTACATCAGGACCAGGGGTGGACTGACAACTCATGGGGCCCCCCGGGCAATTAGGGATCATGGGGCCCCTGTGTCCTTGCCCATACTCAAAACCCCCCCAAAAAAGCCTATAAAAAGGTACCAGGGGCATTTTATGGGGCCCCCTACTGACCCTGGACCCTCGGGCAGTGCCTGAGAGCTCGAATGGTCAGTCCGCCCCTGATCAGGACTGATCAATTTTCAAATATATACCATAGCTTGTGGACTTTTTTTTTACCAAAGACATTTAGCAGTATACATTTTGGCCTAAATTTATGAAGAAATATTATTTATTTGTAAATTGTTATAACAGAAATAAAGAAAAACACGTTGTTGGTTTTTTTTTTCATTTAGCACAAATATTAAAAACCCAGTGGTGACTAAATAACACCAAAAGAACGCTCTATCTGCCTCAAAAAATGTTCAGAATTTCATTTGGGTATAGTGTTGCATGACTGAGTGAGTCAGCGCTGAAAGCTTAAAACTGACCTGAGCAGGAAGGGGGTGAAAATGTTTGAGGCGGTTAATGGCTAAGTCCACCTGTATGACCATGTTTCATGTTGCACCCATATTTGGGGAATGGAATGCAACATGGTTACATTCTGCAGCCCCCCACTCTCAAACCACCCCTATTTTCTAAATCAAGGGGTTCTTCTGCATTCAGCATACTGTCATTTTTCCAGACCTGGTTGGCCTTAGAGGTAGGTGGGTATTTAACCACTTATGTGCACGTCATCCAGCCTGTTCCGGGTTAGGTACGCACAGTGTGGACACAACAGATTGCGTCTCCCATTATCCAGCCACTTTGAGTGGCACAGGGTTCATGTGATCTCTATGCAGTCACATGATCACAATGTCAACAAAGCTGTTATGAATGAATGTCCTTCATAACAGCTGTGCTGCCTATACAGTGATGATGTGATTGGCCCACAGATATCACATGGTACCTGGGCCAGTCACAGCACCCTATACTATTTAATTAGTTGTAGGCAATCACAGATCACTAGTAATTACAGATGTTCTGAATGTAACCCATTCATGACAGTTCAAAATATTGGTGTTACAGTGATCATCTTTCTAACAGCAAAGTGTAAAAAAAATCCCTAATCACCACTCCCCCCATCCCCCCTCCCCCCAGAGTAGTACAGTACTCTGATGAAAGTATATTTAAAAGTTTTTAAAAAGTTAAAAAAAACAAAAATAGTAAAACAAAACTTCAAAAAACTCACCATGCCTCTTACGAAATACCTCAGACTGTCTACTTTCAAAAAGTGGTAATTTGGGAGTATTTGTACCGTCCTGGCATTTTAGGGCCTCAGAAGATGAGATTGGCCATCAGTACATCAGAAATTATCAGTTTTCAAATATACACTTTATTGCCAAACGTATCGGGATGCCTGCTTTTACACGCACATGAACTTTAATGTCCGTAGTCCGTAGGGTTCAATACTGAGTTGGCCCACCCTTTGCAGCTATAACAGCTTCAACTCTTCTGGGAGGGATGTCCACAAGGTTTAGGAATGTGTTTATGGGAATGTATGACCATTCTACCAGAAGTGCATTTGTGAGGTAAAGCACTGATGTCGGACGAGAAGGCCTGGCTTGCAGTATCCGCTCTAATTCATCCCAAAGGTGCTCTACCAGGTTGAGGTCAGGACTCTGTGTAGGCCAGTCAAGTTCCTCCACCCCAAACTCGCTCATCCATGTCTATATAAACCTTGCTTTGTGCACTGGTGCACAGTCATGTTCAAATAGAAAGGAGCCATCCCCAAACTGTTCCCACAAAGCTGGGAGCATGAAATTGTTCAAAATGTCTTGGTATGCTGACGTCTTAAGAGTTCCCTTCACTGGAACTAAGGGGCCAAACCCAACCCCTGAAAAAAACAACCCCACACCATAATCCCCCTCCACCAAACTTTACATTTGGCACAACGCAGTCAGCCAAGTACCGTTCTCATGGCAACCCCCAAACCCAGAAACGTCCATTGGATTGCCAGACAGAGAAGCGTGATTCATCACTCTAGAAAACATTTCTCCAATGCTCTAGAGTCCAATGGCGGTGTACTTTACACAACTGCATACAATGCTTTGCATTACACTTGGTGATGTAAGGCTTGGATGCAGCGGCTCGGCTATAGAAACTAGTACCATGAAGCTCTCTATGCATTGTTGTGCTAATCTGAAGGCCATACAAAGTTTGGAGGTCTTTAGCTATTGATTCTGCAGACAGTTGGCGACTTCTGCACACTGTGTGTTTCAGCATGCACTGACCCCACTCTGTCATTTTACGTCGCATACCACTTGGTGGCTGAGTTGATGTTGCTCCCAGTTGCTTACACTTTGTGGAGTAGAGTAGAGCCCAGAGAGGGATTATTTTGACGCAGTTGGCCACCTTAAACATGTATTGAAATACATGTGAACTAAAAATCCCTGTTGTGGAAAGTTTGCTAGTAAGGGTGTAAAGCAGTGGGCCGAGGATTGATTCAGAATTTCTAGTCTTTACTGAAGGGGGTCTGCTCTCGGATGTCTTCACTGAGGAGTGTCAATACTTCCGGGGATGTACTGAGGTGTCTGTGCTGAGGGGTGTTTGTACTGGTGGTTACTGGGGGGTCTCTTCCATTGGAGGCATCTGCAGTTGGGGGTGACCTGTACAAGGCGATTCTGTACTGGGGGTGCCTATCCTTGGAATGTCTGCATAGGGGCATGTCCATAATTAACTGTATTGAAGCACACTACCACACTTTGCAGAGCACGGTGTTTCAAAAATAGTATGCATTTTTTATCCTTGATGTGAAAGTCATACGGAGTTTCTATACTGTTTCAGCACCCCCTAGAGGTTGCATCTTTCGCGGCTGATCTGTCACCTAGGCAGATCTCCGCTTGAGGCCGATCTTTCTAGGGGACTGGAAGAGTATGAACTCTGCACTGCTGTCCCCTCTGTGTGCGCTGTCTCGACTGTAAAACGGGGAAGGAGGTATACCCATCTATGGAGGACAGACAGCAGAACCTTTTTGACCAGAGCATCACCAACACAGCAAATGTGTGTGCAATAATGGTTTGTGTACTGAGGGTTGTGTTTTCTGGGTGGGTCATTTAGTGCAGGGGTTCTGTACTGGGTGTGTCTATGGAAGGGTCTGTACTGATGTGGACTGTACAGGGTGAATCTGCACTGGGAAGGTTTAAACTGAGAGGGGCTACACTTGGCTTTTTTTGCAATGGGGAATCTGTACTGGGGATCTGTACTGAGGAGAACTGCACTGAGGGAGTCCTTACTGGGGAAGGTCTGCACCAAGATGTCTTTACTGAGGGTTGTCTATACTTCAGGAGGTGTACTGGGGTGTCTATCTATACTGGTGGTTACCAGGGATCTGTACTAATGGAGGGGGTGTGTCAGAGTAGAGTAGTGCCTGGCCAGAGAGGGATTACTTTGACGCAGTTGGCCAGCTTAAATATGTATTGAAATACATAGTTACATAGTTAGTCTGGCTGAAAAAAGACAAAAAGTCCATCCAGTTCAACCATTAAAAAAAAAAAATAATAATTTATAATTTTATACCCACAGTTGATCTAGAGGATTGCAAAAAAAAAAAAAACTCCATATACCATTTGCTCTTGCTGGGAAAATAAATTCCTTCCTGATCCCCCGAGAGGCAATCGGATATTCCCTGGATAAACTTAACCTATAAATGTTAGTATCCAGTTATATTCAGTGTTTCTAAGAGAATCCTGGCTTTTTTTGAAGCAATCCACTGGGTTGGCCAAAACCAAATCTTGAGGGAGTCCATTCCACATTTTCACAGGTCTCACTGTGGAGTAACCTTTCCATGTTTGGAGAATACATTTTTTTTTTCCTCCAGATGTAAAGAGTGCCCCCTTGTCCTCTGTGATGACCTCAGGGTGAATATCTCTACACCGAGTTCACTATATGAACCACTGATGTATTTATACATGTTGATCATATCCCCTCTTAAGCTCCTCTTCTTAAGAGAGAATAAATTCAGTTCCTCTAATCTTTCCTCATAGCTGAGCTCCTCCATGCCTCGTATCAGTTTGGTTGCCCTTCTCTGTACTTTTCCAGTTCCCCAATGTTCTTTTTGTGAATTGGAGCCGAAAACTGAACTGCATATTCCAGATGAGGTGTTACTAATGATTTGTACAGGGGTAATATGATATCTCTCTCTCTGGAGTCTATACCTCTTTTAATACAAGAGAGGATTTTGTTTGCTTTAGAAACCACAGCTTGGCATTGCATGCCATTATTAAGCTTGTGATCTACCAGAACTCCCAGATCCTTCTCCACTATTGATTCCCCCAGTTGTACCCTCCCTAGTATGTATGATGCATGCATATTCTTAGCCCCCAAGTGCATAACCTTACATTTATCAACATTAAACCTCATTTGCCACATAGTTGCCCAATTAAACAGTGCATTGAGGTTGGCTGGTAAGTTGAAGACATCCTGTAAGGATGTTACTCCACTACACAGCTTGGTGTCATCTGCTGAAATGGGATTTTTAATCCCAGACCCTATATTGTTTATAAATATTGTGGGGGTAGCTCAGGTAGGGGGGATCACCTTCGCTGGGAAAAAGGTAGTCCAGACAGCAGGGCTTTCTTAAATTCTGACTTGTCATTTTTTTTAACCGCCTCCCGCCCGCCATATAAGGAAATGACGGGCGCAAGGTTATTCTCTCATTCTGGGAGGATGTCATATGACGTCCTTCCACTCTAACTGCACGTGTGCGGCTCCGGGGGGCGCGGAGTGCGGCGATTGGTTCGCTGTGTCACCGATCAACGGAAAGAGCTAAAGGCGTCGGCTTGGTTATGTGATCAGCGGTGTCCAATCACAGCTTATCGCATGTAAATAAGGCAATGCCGGTTATTGGCATTTCTCTCCTCACGAGCTGTCACGCTGACAGCTCGAGAGGAGAGGAAAGCTGGTAATCAGCATTCCTCAGAGGGGACATGTTTACTGATGATCAGTGTGCCCCGATGATCA